TAAACACACAAAGTTCAGTTCTACATGACTGAGCACAGGGAACTCATAGGGGAGGAAGGGTGAGTGTTAATGCCCCATAATAGCCGGAAGTGAAGGATTCTAGTTGTTGGAATACAATCAGGTTCGAACATGGATGTGGTTGGCTTGGTTTGGGGCTCACAGAGCACATCCTGGTGGCAGCATGGGGCAGAAGAACTGTGCCCAGGAGCCATGTGTAAGACTTCTGCCCTAAGGCCTGCAGCTGGAGAGAGTGGAGTGTCATTCACTGCCTAGGTGGCACTTACTCAGGTGAGCAAATATAGAGCCCTAAGATAAAGAAGACCTGAAGAGAGCGTCACCATAAAAGTCCAGATGTGGGGAAAAAAAAAAAAAAAAGTCCAGGGTCTGGGTGGACAGATATTTTCTCCAGTATGTTTTAACAGGAGAGAATGGAATTTACCTGTTCCTTTAGATGACTAGGCATAGATCACTTGTCCAGTTTTCATTTTAGTGATTAATCAGTTGAAACCAAGACATCAGCAGACAGGTGCAGCTTGGGGTCAAAGCAACTTCTCCACCTTGGAAGCAATGTTACCTGTTCAGACCTGTTCATCTGTCCATCCAGAGCGTGAGGCCAGGCCTTGTTGTCCTGAGGCCTCCAAGCCTGCCTCACTTTCCTTCCCTCAGCCCGTGGCAGAAGCAGAGGAGGATTTTGAGGCTCAAACGCCTGGGGCGCAGAGGGAGAAATCCATGCTGATAGTTCAGGATCAGCCAAGCACCAGTGCAGAATTGTTTGGGGGAGTGGTCCTAGGAATTAATGCTGTTGTCATGCTTTCATTTTAAGTTTTATCAGCTAGATACAGCTGAAGCTACATTATCATAAACTTAATGTGTTTTGTTCAGATTTTTGGCTAGCCAGTGTTTTTCCATGACTTTTTGTCAGTTATTTTTGCTCAGTAATGAATAATAAAGTGAGATTTATAAGCTTCCTAAGGCAACATTTGTTTTATTTTGACATTTCTAGACGGCAAAGGTTTTACAATTAGATTTGCTCCCTCTACCAAACCATTAATTGAAAAAACCATACCCCTGATAAAAGGCTTCATCATTTTCCCAACTAGCTAGAATCATCTTATTTTTATTTCAGAAGTTTATTTTGTAAGTCAGAAAATGAAATTAAAATTTCTCTTGAAACTAAATTCTTTTTTTTTGAAACTAAATTCTTAATGAGACAAAATATCTCTCCGTAATAGAAAGTCAAGAGAGCAAAGGGAAGCATGTTGAAATTCATGGTGGTTCCGTTGTCTTTTTAAATTTGAGTTTATATCAGACTTAAGTAAGGAATAGAGGACATCCCCTTTTCTACCTTGTTTCAAGTGAATGTACTGTTTTGTTGCTGTTTTATGATAATGAGGATTAAACTTGGGGCCTTGCACATGCTAAGATAAGCACTGTACCACTGAACTATATTCCTAGCACTTTCCAAAAATTTTATTGTGGTCCTCTTGCCTAAGCCTCCAAAGAAGCTCAGATTATGAGTGTGTTCCACCATGCACAGCTGCACTTACTATATTCTTACTGTGAGTTTTGTCTTGGACACTTTAAAATACCCAGGAGAATGTCCTAGAACTGATGGACAACACCTTATTTCTGATGTATTTGGCCAAGTCAGACCAGACATGGTGGATTCTGCCCCTTTGCTGATGAGTACCAGACTGGCCCCTATGGGGCAAGCTGAAGCTGTCCTCTTCCTACAACCTGCTGAGGGAGTCAGAAAAATTTCTGATGTGTCCCGGGACAGTGTTTTCTCTCCAAGTACCTGCAAAAATGACAGAGGCAGCTGTGTGTACAGCTGATGACAGAATTGCTTGTCATTGCTAATGGTGAAAATATCACTGAGTACTAACTGGAAAAGCACCCCTGCCCTTGCTGTGTGAAGTCACCTTCCAGAGCCTGTGGTAGCAGCAGTGGGCAGATCCTTACAGCGTGGAGCATTTCCCCTTCTGAGTCATACCCGAGGGGCCACTCCTCCCCTAGCCCAGTCTTCTCCTCCCTTATTTCCATCATCATCTAGTACTTTTTATCGAGCACAGAGACATACATAGAGCCAAAGGAGACATTATGTAATCGACAAGGAGGCATGTCTGTTCTGGACAGTGATGGCAGGTACCTTCTCAGGCCAGGAGCTGGTGTCACAGCATCCAGGCAGCAGAGGGACAGGAATGCACTATCTCAGTCTCTGTGGCATCATACATGGAGTGGGAACATTTCCATCCCATTAGGCTTTGAGTCTCACATAGGGCGTCTTTTAAATTTTGATGTGTTGTTTGGGGCCCCCGAGACACTGAGGAGTATTGAATGTGAAATAAAATGTGTATTTCATAAACCCAGTGATTGAAGAAAATATGCAGTGATACTTGAGACAGGCTTGCAAAAGTGTGTGATACTAAATGCTGAGCTCAGTCACTGAAGAAACATGACCTTCTAGCTGGGCTTACTAGCACACACCTGTAATCCCAGCACCAGGAGGCCGAGGCAGGAGGATCACCATGAGTTCAAGGCCAGCCTGGGCTACAAAGTGGGTTCAAGTCCAGCTTGAACTAATGGTGAGATCCTGTCTCAGAAAACTAACAAACGAAGCATGACCTTCATCTCATCCAGCAATAGCTAACTCTTCACCAACCCCTTCATGAAGCACACTGCAACTGAGGGGCTATGTGTTCAGGGCCTGACCAGAGCCTCTTGCAGCACAGCCTCTGCTGTCTTCCCTGCCAGCCATAAAAGGAATCATCCTCACCCGAAATAGGAAGAGCTTGCTCATGGCTGGGCTCAGCAGCAGCTCTGGCGTTCTCAGGGAAGGGGCCGTGTGACCCTATGTGTGAGTCCAATCCACACTGGGACCTGGGGCATGGCACTGCAGCAACAGAGGGCTGGGCAGTCACCAGACCCAGTTAGAATCCACTCAGCTCTGTGGACTTTGCAAATTCATTTCTTTAACTATAGACTGGTTCTGAGATTACATGACGTGGATTGCTGTAAACTTGAGAAACAACAGTCCCTACTGCCAGTGGAGTGTATAGGGTACCCAATTGCCCTGCCAGAACTGATTGCAAATGGTGTCAATTTGTTCCTCACTGTCATACATGGACAGGGGATTATTATCTCCACATTCATGAGGAGGAAGCTGGAGTAGCATCTTTGCCCTGACCACACAAAGGGTGGCCAGCATCAGGTTTTAGTTCCAGCTCTGTGGGATCCCAGCCCCTAGGAGAGATCCAAGCAGTCCAGGTGGTGGCCACTGTGCAGGTGGTATTCACCAATGTCACTTCTCTCTCATCCCAGGTTCACAACCTTCTGTGCAGAAGTCTTTCCAGAGTGGCAGTGTTGCTTTGCCTGGTTTCAGTTACCTGCCATCAACCATGGTCCAAAAACATTAAATGGAAAATTCCAAAACTAAACGATTCATAAGATTCCAATTGCATGAGGTGATGATATCTTGTGCCCTCCTGCTCAGTCATGCCCAAGATGTGAATCATCTCTTTGGCCAACATATCATACTGTAAGATATTTTGAGAGAAACACACATTTATATAGCCTTTATTTTCCTTTTTCTGCCTATTTTCTTGGGGGAGGGAGATTACTAGCCTTAAACTCCTTGGGTTGAAGCTTTTTTTCTCCTTAGCCTCTAGAGTAGCTGTGACCACTGGCACCTAGCACTGTGCCAGCAGCCACGTAACTGGTTGTAATATAGTTGTTCTGTTGTATTATTAAGGTCTTACTGCACCTAACGTACACATTTAACTTTACCGTAGGTGTGAGTGTATAGAAGGAACACAGTACTTATGGACGTTTCAGACTATGTAAGGTTCAGGTATCCCCTGGAGTCTTGGAACGCATGCTCTAAGGATTAGAGGGGACCACAGTGTGGTGCAGGTCTGCTGAATGGCATCAAGTGGTTCGATGTGGACAACTGTGGGTATTTTTTTAAAAGTTTAATACACTCACAATTAAGAGTTGTTTACAATGTGCTCCAAAAGTCACCTAGGTGATGTGATTTTACATGCTCAGCACATAAGAACCACAGTTCACGTTCCACAGTCCAAACCTAGCATTGGGCTCCATGCTGTCACCTGGCAAGGGAGATGCCCACCTGTGACCACTCTCCCTGTTCCTGCCCAGCTTCACCAGGTCCCTGTCCACTTTGGATCTTGAAAGAGAAACCTCCTTCTCTTCCCTGCCTCTGCTCTCCGTGGAGTTTGTGGAGATAGTCATAAACCCTGGAGAAGTCTTTACATTTTGTACTTAGGAAAGAGCTCAGATCACCAGAGAGTACCAGGTTAATTCAGCCACCAGTTTCAATGCTAGAAAGCCTCTCAGGAAGAGCCCTAAAAGGTCCACTGCCCTGACTCGGGAGCTGTAAGTTCTTGGGTGCAGCTCGCTTGGAGTTTTATTCTCTGTGCTATGCTGAATCGCTCAGTACATGAGCCCTGGATCGTGTTGTGGCCCACACACCAAGCAGGGATTCTTTGTTCAATGGCCCCACAGGGGCAGAGCTCAAGGTCCTATGTCATGCGGTCCCGTGCTGGACCCTGGTTCTGTCTCTACCGTGGCAGGCTGTGTTCAGGGGCAAGAGTAGAAGTTCTCATGTTATTTTTCAAGCACAGTTTAGTAAGAACATGTGTGGAACCCTTCTGTCCTTAGATGAATTCACATGTCATCGCAAACTGAACATCTCTAAAGATGTTTTTAGAGGAAAACCAAGAAGAATTACTTAAATAATTTTGAAGCAATAATCCTTGATTTACGGGATCAGTGATAAGGGTGGCAGGAGGTTGTGGTGGCCCATGGAGGCTGTGGCTCTGACTGGGTCTTTACGATAGTGCTTACCATTGGGTTTTAGGCACGAGGTCTTCTTTGGAACCTGAGCTTTATTATTCTGGTTGGTCGGAGCTTGAGGCACTGGCTCTGCTATGATTCTGACAGTGTTCACGCGCTGATGTCTTGGCCCAATTGTGTTTCAGACAATGGAGGGCAGACCCTAGCTGGAGGTAACAACTGGCCCCTTCGAGGAAGAAAGTGGACCCTTTGGGAAGGCGGCATCCGAGGCGTAGGCTTTGTTGCAAGCCCCTTGCTGAAGCAGAAGGGTGTAAGAACCCGTGAGCTCATCCACATCTCCGACTGGCTGCCCACATTGGTGAAGCTGGCTGGTGGCAGCACCCAAGGTACCAAGGCCCTGGACGGCTTCAACGTATGGGAAACCATCAGGTACTGCACGCCTTACCCTGCTCAGAATGCAGCTCTGAGAGCAGCTTGACAGGAAGTGGGAAGAACGTTTGTGTCGAAATGACTTCCATTTACAAAAATGATCTCTTCTGATATATGAAACACTTGCGGAAATACTGTGATGATATATTTTTTAAGTTTGAAATTTGGGATTGTAGGCCTGTGTTTCAAATGAAGAGTAAGATTGCTCTCTGTGTAGGAACTCTTGAGAGCCGAGACACACTGCTAAGAAGTAGGCATGTGCTAAGAAGTTGGCTTCCTGTGGGAACAGGGGACTCAACTTATTGTGTACTGGGAGGATGGAGGACTGAGTGGGGGTTTGGGCAGGGCTCAGAGTCCAGAGCAGCTGTGCAAGCTCAGGGAATGAGTTTAGTTCTATTCATTAATAAGTAACGGATACCCACAGTGCTAGTCCCTGTCCTAAGTGCTGAGAATGAGGGGTGAATAAGATAGGCAAGGACCTGGCTTTCAAGAAGCATGTTTTCTAGTAGGCAGAGCAAAATAGTAACCAGGTAGCACACAAACACACAGGATGACTTGAGGTGGGCATGCAAGTTACAAAGGCAACGAGATGTGCATTGTGGAAGAGTGCTGCTAGGTGTCAGGGAAACGTGGTCTGGGAAGTAGGGTCTAGCTTTGGATCTGCTACCCATAACCTGGTTAGAGCAGTGGCCTCCCAGGTTGGGTAGCACATCCCTTGAAAGGTGCAGCTGCTCTCTGAGTACAGGGAGGAAACTCTGCACCTTGTATTTGTATTTAATTTTATGTAGCCTCTCAGTGTTTCAGAAGGTGTGTAGTGCAGGAGTGGATTAGTATCTCTAACTTATTTACTGGAGGGGTTGTTTTTACCAAGGGCCTGAGATACCCAGGGTAATGGTTTCTACCTCTTTGGTGTCACCAGCCCTGTTTGTGGCAGTGGCTGATGAATAGGTCCCATGGTGGTCCAGAAGAGAGGACACCTGCATGCTCTTCTTTTGTCATTCCACTCTGTTGTTCCAGCTGAAAGCAGCAAAGTTCTAGGTTTCTGTTCCTAGGAAAAACAGCAGAGTATTCAGAAGAGCTGTGATGTAGGTAACATACTCTCCAACAGCTGAGAGAAAGAATGCAGGTGGATTCTAGTACTTTATTTTATTTTTTTGACACTGAGGATTGAACTCACGACCTTGCACTTGCCAAGTAGGCACTGATGCCGCTGGCACTTAAACCCCTGGCCCCGTGGAGTCTAGTATTATTGATAAAAGAATGTGGGTAAAAGCCCTAAGTATTCTTTCACCATGTCTTTATTTTTGTAATGTTTTGCAAATTTAAAATTATTCCAAATAAGATCTTTTTTTAAAAAAGATGTTCTGGCTAGACAGGGTCTGTATTTCCACAAGGCCAGCAGCTGAATGGAGTCACAGTTGCTTTAGATGATGCTTTGGGCCTTGTGCAGGCCCCCTGCACTTTCTGTTGTTCACCTGGTCCCTTTATACACTGAAATTAGTGACCCATTCAGATCACTGCATAGTCACAATCCTCAGTACTCTGGACATATCATGATAGAACTAGCCCCAATTGCTGGACACACAGAGTTTCCTTATATTTTTATATTGGCAATTTTCTGTAACAAATAATCTTCAATGTTAACAAGTCAGGGTTTGGCAGGAGGTTATTTTATACAAAGGAAGCTTGACAGCTGTTGTTATGACTTGTATTTAGATGTCCCCAAAAGCCTCATGTGCTCACAGGTGGGGCTTTCCTGAGCTGCTGGTTCATAGAGTAGTTGTTCTCCTGCGTCCTGCCTGCTGGCTCCTTCCATTACTTCTTCCTGCCCAGGAGGACACATGCTGTGTTGGTCACCAATGGGCTCTGTGTGGAGCTGGGAAGAGACTGTCAGCCATGGCAGGCTGGCCATCTCTGGACTCCGCAGGTGGTGCCGTACAGGCTCTCTGGCCTTCCCCTGTATGCACTTGTCTTCTGGCTGTGCTGAAGTTGGTGCAGAGGAACCTACAGCCAGGCAAGTATCAGTGCAGTTGCTGCCTCTATGTAGCACACCTTGGCTCACGTTCTTCCTTCCTGGTACCAGCTCCACAGCCTCCCCAATGTGCCTGGGGTCCCCTGGGATTGTTCCTCATGGCAACAGGGGTGCAGAATACCTTCTTTGCTGTCATTCCTGTCAGTGAAACCACACTGAGCCATTTGACTGTTCCCCAAACCTCTGCTGTGACTCTCCCATCCACATTGGTGGGTGTCACCTATTTGAGGCCACTGGCCACCAGTTCCTGCACCCTGCCCCTGGTGTCCACAGCACCTGGCAGCTTCTCAGTCTGTTCACTGCTCATGGCTGTGGAGAGGTGCCTGGGTCCCAATGCAGCTGCTGCTCTTCTGGGGTGTGGTGGCTCCAAGACTCATGGAAGTGGCACCCGGGAGCTTGGGGCTCTGGAGTCTGCTTTTTTCCCACTGCAGTAGAAGTCTGCGAATTATTTGACTCCCTGAAATGTTATCACTGAAGGCTTGCTGTGGACCAGAAGCATACCTATGATAGCACTGCGGGTCATGTTGTATTTAGAGTGTTACGTGTATTGTATTACTGTTGAAAATGTGTCGAGAACCATAGGAGAGCACTTTTACTGCAGTGAGCAACTTACTGCAGATGATTTGGATCATAGGGAATTGGTGGCGGGTGCTTACAACATTGAGCAGAGCTCAGGAAATGACTGACTGTGGTACCACAGCGGGGTAGCACGCAGGACACTGTATGCCTGCAGGCATAGTGCACCCATCCTTACATCCTCACCTCATCCTGTGACAGATTGGGCAGTATGTGGTCTATGTTAGTGAACAGAGGTTTTGGTATATTTTATGCTAGAAAATGATAAAGTAGACTAAGGTTATCTATATATACTTTATGCATTCATGATATACTTTTTAATTTTTTCAATGTTTCTAGGCTATGCATTTTGCTTGCAATTTTTTCAAATTGTCACAGTTTTTCAAAAAATTCACCTGTGAGTGGACCCACACCATTCGAATTGCAGCTGTACTGTATGACTTCAGTTCTTATAAATGTTTCATGGGGGGGGGGGTAATCCACACCAGTCCAAAACTGTTTTCTCATTTTCTTGCCAGAAAAGTTGATTTTTCAGCTCAGAGACAATGACCAATTTATGATTTGTCATTTGAGATCACTCAGTAACATCTGAGTCACAGAAAAGGCAGCTAAACAAACGAAATCTTTGCTCTGACCAGGTACCAGCTTTGTCCTCATTATTTGCTCATTCATGAGATGATCTTTTCATTTACCTTAAAATATTCTGCCTCTTGCCAGGTATGGTGGCACATTCCTGTAATGGCAGTACTCGGGAGGCTGAGGCAGGAAGATCACTCTGAGTTCAACAGCCTGAGCTACATAGTGAGTTCAAGGCCCGCCTGAACTACATACTGAGATCTTATCTCAGAAAACCAAAAAAAATTGTAAATACGTACCAATTCCTCATGATAATTGTAATCATTCTGTGCTGCAAACATGTACTAATTAAAAAAAAACACTAAAAGAAATCTGCCTCTCTTTATAACCTAAACTCGATGTTTAATTTAAATTTAATTTTCATGTGTCAGTAATATACACTCATTGTAGCTAATTTTCAAGCTACAGAAAATAACTACCCAAAACCCATCCTGAAACATTACTATAGGGATTTTTGTATATTTCCTTAAAATTTTTCTTTTCAGTATTTTTACATGGTTTTTTCCTCATTCAGTGGATAACCGTTTTGATCATGTTATCTAAGGAATTCATTGCAGATACTGTTTTAATAATATAGCTGTAACTTGATATACTTAACTATTCCCTTGACTTTGTTTCAGATATTTTTAAATCGATAATATTGAAATCAACTATAACGGCATAAAATCTATATTTTAGAATATTTTCCTTAGATGTAAGTGATTTGAAATTGTCATTAAGCTAGGACAAGTGACCACTTTATAAATATTTGGTACAGTTTACAAAATTGCTCACCAATCTTCTGCTATGATATATGGAATTGCTCATCCCTTCATAGCTTTTCCTTATGTAGTTTAAAAAATTTCTCCCATTATTATAGGTGAATGATCTTGTATTAACTTTATTTTTTATTATAAAAGCAATTAAGTTTAAATCTTTTCCATTTTTGTTTTCTCTTTTGAAAGTGTTTGTTTGCTTGCTATGTTTTCACATTTGTTTAATTAATAGTTTGTGTTTTCTTGCTAATTTTTTACCCTTTTAAATTTTTGACTTTTTTTTTTTTTTTTTTTTTTTTTTTTGGTGCCAGAGATTTTTTTTACTGTTCCTGCAAATATTTTGCTTATTTTCATTTTGTGGATTTTTTGGACATGAATATCTTTCTTATGTTTGTCGCTGAAATCAATTTCTCTTTTTTTCATAAAACCTTTTCTTACCTTCAAATGTGCTGAATATTTATCTGTATTTTCTTCTAAGTGTTGTGGTGAATAATACTTCTTCCACATTATTTTTCAATTTTTGTGAAATGATGTGAACCTTATGTGAGATACCAAAATTAGAGGAATAGGTTTTTTGTAGTTTTTTTTTTTTTACATTGTAGACTTTCTTGAGACCAATGAAAATTGTGAACTTATAGAAGAAAAGAAGCTAAATGTATGAAAATTTAGATAGAACTTATGATATCAGAAATAGATTAAACATTAATTTCTATATGATTACACATGGAAACGTGAAAGCCATTCTTCACAAACTTATACTTCTCTTACTCAATTTAACATGAAATTTGTAGCCAATGATGAGTAGTTGTTTAAAAATAACTAATAATGACCAATAGCAAATAAAAAAGGAAATAAAAATGTCCCTGCAAATCAGAACTTGCACATCATTTCAGGTTGTCACCGACTCTCAGTGTAAAAACTGTTGAGGTTTCACTTAAAGAAGTAGAAAAAACTCTGAGTGGTTTTTGATACAGCAACATTTGTCGCATGCATACCACTCC